GCTCAGGTAATGTAGTTTCAAGTTTGTTCAAATCATGACCCCCCCCCCCCCCCGGGGTAGGGCGGGGCCAAAATGGCCGACCAAGTTTTACATAGAAATATATAGGTAAGTAGTATAAGACGCCTGGATGGGCGGGTCAACTGAGTGCACTTTTTATGCAAATGAGGTCAAAAAGGCTGGATTCTGATTGGCTGGGGGGATAGGCGGGTCAAGGGAGTGCAGATTGGGGGGTCTGGGGGGATAGCTGGGTCAAGGGAGTGCAGATTGGGGGTCTGGGGGATAGCCGGGTCAAGGGAGTGCAGCCCCTGGGGGGATAGCCGGGTCAATAGAGTGCAGCCCCTGGGGGGATAGGTGGGTCAAGGGAGTGCAGATTAAGGGGTCTGTGGGGGATAGCCAGGTCAATTCAGTACATATAGCCCCCTAAATATGGGGGTGTTTACATTATATACTATACGCTTCTACTACGATTTTGTCAGCGACTCAAGAATTTAATTATAACGTCACGCTTCACAGTCTACCCAGCCTAGCCTAATCGGTTCAAACTGATTTCCTCAAAACAATAAAAACCTAGATTTTTTACTGAAAACAATTACAAAAACACACATGGTTTATATACCTTTACTGTAAGGGCCCTGTGCATCAATACGTTTTACCTGCGTTTTTATACCTGTTGCATCATCTGTAAGGGGGCCGTGTGCAAAACATACCATAGACTTACCTATGCATTGTGACGTCATAAACTTGGCAGCGACGTCATGTTAGTCCTTCACAAGCCGCGATGGCTGCTTATTTTGACACAATAACACAGACTTTCACAGCGCTTGAGACTTCATGTAATAACAGTATGGTCCTATGGATTTCAGTACCAAAACTGATTTTCTACCGTTTTTCTTCCAAGAAAGTTCTGAACAGCTGAATCCTGGATCAGCCTAGATGTTATTTCACTGGATTATTTAATGAATATTACTCTACTGAGTTATAAAAAAATATAATATAAATATAATATAAATATAAATCCAGTTATGATTTTATTCTTGACTATACATAATACGTATCCTTTACAAATCTTACTTAATGTTATATTCAGAATGAAGATTTTATGAATAGAACAATTATATTACATACCACATTTTTTAAGTAAACAAGAAAGATAACTCTTAGATGAGAAAATGTAAATAATTAGTTTCCAAGAGTTATTTCCCATAATTAACTGCCATTAGGTCAAACGAGAAATAAGAACTTATTCATAACATGTTTTCTTATAACAGTATGTCCAACAGTTTTTACAAGATATGGTATAAGTAACAACAACAAAAATATCTTCATCATTTAAAAATAGAGAGAAAACCTGAATATAGTGAAGCCATGAGTTGCAAACCATGCATGTTAGTTAAAATTGAAATCATTTCTTAAATATCAAGAATATGAGCCTTTCACAACTTCTATAATCAAATGACTATCTGATATTTTTCTAAATATTATCATGTACCAGTGAAAGGTACCTATATCATAAATCAAAACTGTCTCTGTCTTAAATGCAAGGAAGTTGTGATTGGACAATTATATGAAATTACACCAGAATAAGAGTGCAGAATAAAAAATTTAATAAATATTTTGAAATCAAGACAAAATTTTATAGGGACAAGTGTTCATATGCGACAAATTTGAGATTACAGTTTTTTTTCTTGGACAATTTTCAAAATTTTTGTCTCAAATGAACATTTTTCTCTAGAGAATTTTGTTTCGGGTTTCAAAACAATAAAAGAGTCAGTGTGGCAGATAGATAACTGCAATGGCTCAAACATAATCTTCCAGGTTAAAATTAAATGTACCAAAGGACATAGACTTTGAAATCGCACAATTTACAGATAAACTTGGATATTTTGAATATTCATATACTATGGATATGCTAAAATATTTGGGCATTCCTAAACACCAGTCATCTTCTGTTATGTTTATGTGCCCTGGTTATTTCGAATCATAATATATCTCAAAGTTGATCTTGGTTTAGTCTACGATATGGATAGTTCGATCTAAATAATGAGGGTTGACTGTAATATGAAAGGCACTAAGAACACTGATCTTCGTAGTGTAAAAGGGGAAGGGGGAGAGTGATAGTCTGTTATCTATTCAAAAGCTAAAATAAGTTTTCCTTACTTATAATTCAAAAGCTTAGGCAAGTAATATTATTATTGTAAAAATCTTTGTTCCGATGACAATACTTGCACCCTCACCCCTTACAATGAGAGACAATAATGAGAGGTCCATAAGTCACACTGATTAACCTTTTGTCCATCTGCTACTGATTTTTAAGAACTATTACCTCTTTGTTCACATGAAAATTTGAACCCCCAGAGGATGGGATGGAGGTGTTTTGACCTATGCAGACTGTAATTCACATGTGAGAGTATTTAAGGTCCTAATACATTTGAAAGATTTTTAAAAAAAATTAATCCAATAAATTACAATTTAGATAGAGCTGCATGTACAGTCAAACTTTGTTATCTCCAATCTGATTGGGCTGAGAAAAAACTTTGAGATATATCCTAGGATTTGTGATATTGAGGGTAAATTTACTTTAAAAATATATGGTTGGGTCTTCCACATCACTTTGACATGTCCATGGTATTCAAGATATCAGAGTTCGAGATACCAATGTTCAACTGTATTATCCACTATTGCAACACCCTCCCCCCAATACTCTAGGACAATGAATAGAACAAATTTCAATGCACTACACTGTACTCAAGTCAAGGATGTTCGCATTTCAATTTATTCAGTCATGGCCTTGATGTTCTTGAAGACATTTAAAGATTTTTTAATGTTCCTGTAATTAAAGATTTAAGGTTTTATAGTTTTTGCCCTGTCTATCTGTAGGTCTGTTTGGCAGCAAAATAAATTGACCTTGCCCTTAACTTGTGAGGGGGTGGAGCTATGGCTTCCATATTTCACAGGTGTATTCCTTGTGACAAGAATTTTAAGAACCATCAAAATTGACATCTTGACCTTTTTGTACTTTAATTACAATTGAAAAAAAAAATACTAGAGGTAAGGGGCATAACTGAGGCTATAATTGTAAATTTTGGATGACATCTTAGTGCATTTTTCTTCCTAAACACTTAAAGCTAAATAATTTGTCTTTTGTGAAATTTATAGATGAAGTAGTTAAACATTTAAATACCCAGAAAATATTGTGATATATTTTCTAAAGTATAAGTTGAATTTCATATTTTAGGAGATTTGGAAATTACACAATATACAATTGAACTTGGCTATCTTGAATACCGATATGATTTTTAAACAGCTCAGGTATTGCAATCATTTTGAGGTTAATGGCCATGGACTGAATGTATTATTAAAATCGGGTATCTCTAAAACCATTTATTTAACAGAATTTTTTTGGAATCCACAGGTTGTTGACATCCTTAAGAAAGTGTATAATACATTTACTCAAGAAATGAGGGAGGGAAAAGTGAAAAACATATCTAATCCTCTGAGGAGATTATCAACTGCCACAGGTATTTAGAAGTGATTTACAGTAAAGCACATCTTTAACAATATGCCAGAAACATAAAATTCTGCTTTGTTACAAGTGTAATTCATTATATCTAGTAAGTGTTCAATACTTTTTAAAGTCAAGAATGAATATAATTTTGTTTTAAGCATGTATTAACAAGTGTGTTTAGCTATGTCATATATAAATCATATTACAAAAAAATGTTTTGATGAGCAAATTGCAATTTTGTTAAAGGGGGGAGGGGGTCATTAGATCAATTTATAAGTTTTTTTTATAATGATGATAAACTGTTAATTAGCTTGATGGATACATCGGCTATATTCATATTCAAATACTTTTGCTCTAGAAAAAATTTTACATAATATTTGCAATCCATCCTCTTACATATGAGGTACATGAATGTTTTACATAATTTAGGAATATCAGAAAGAAATCTTAAGACATGGATTTTGCCGGATGCAGTAGACGAGGTGGTTGAGGATCTGCAAGTTCCTCCTGTAGACAAGAAGATCCACTCCAATAAGGGGCTCGATGACTTCGATGAGGACCTGGTAAAAAGGACCATCCATGAGATGCAGCTGAGGGGCGAGTATGTTTCTCTCCGTCGACTGTCAGGTGTGTTGGTAGAAAGGGGAATCAGGATCACCAAGTCATCTCTGGCAAGACTCGTGAAGAAACTTGGATTCAGGTAAAGTACTCTAGAAGCAAACAATTGGTTTAAATAAAAATTATCCATAATACGTGATACATGTACTACAATTTTATCATTAAATTTATATACAAATCAATTTTATCAAAAAATTTATATACAAATCAATTTATCTTAGAACAAAAACAAATCAATTCGTGTTACAGAGACATTTGCATGCAATAAAAAGAGAATTTTAAAATCTTTTATTTCTAAAAATGTTATTCTCTTTTTTTCAGATTCTACAAATCTGGTTCAGATCGGAGGTTTATTGGTGAGCGTAATGACATCGTCAGTATGCGCCATACTTACCTGAGGTCCATCCGAAACTTTAGAGAGGCGGGTCGTCCTATTGTGTACTTGGATGAGACTTGGCTGAACACCAATCATGTAGCGAGGGGAGATTGGGTGGACTGTCCTAGGACTTCTACCTCTGCCTTTGAGTCACACCGTGAAGGTCATGGGCGCTTCGTCCCACCTGGGAAGGGGTCTCGTCTGATAATCGTGGATGCTGGTTCTTCGGCTGTAGGCATGATCCCGGGATCAAGCCTAGTTTTTGAGTCGAAAACTGGCACTCAGGATTATCATGATGAGATGAACTCAGGAAACTTCACGAGGTGGTTCACTGAGCAGTTGCTCCCTAATCTACCAGGTAATTCAGTCATCGTGATGGATAATGCTTCCTATCACAGTCATCTGGATCCTGAGTCTAAGTGTCCGACATCGTCGGCGCGAAAGGCCGAGATCCAGTCTTGGCTTGATAGAAAGGGTATCCATTACACCCCGGCAATGATCAAGGCTGAATTACTCACATTGGTGAAGCAGCATAAGCCTCGTCCGAAGTATGTGATTGACGATTTGGCTTCACAGGCAGGTCACACAGTTTTGCGTCTACCTCCTTATCACTGTGAGCTAAATCCCATCGAGCTGGTCTGGGCTGAATTGAAAAGCTTCGTCGCCAGGAGCAACGCCACGTTTAAGAAAGACAAAGTGATGGAGCTATTCAATCAAGCAAGATCAGCTTATGATGTGGAGAAGTGGAGGAGGGTTGAGAGCCACGTGATAAATGAGGTAGAGACAAAACTGTGGAAACTTGACGGAGTTCAGGATGACGAGGTCGCTCCGGTGATCATTGACTTGACGGACTCCGAGGACAGTGACAGTGACTTAGACTCAGATTTTGGTGATGACGAAAGTGACGCTGACTCTGACGTTTCCATGAACTCCGCCGAGGAATCTGATGATGAAGTCACTTGTTGCATATGTGGTGACTATAATGCTCCTGGACGGTCACGAAAGATTGCGTGGGTGGAGTGTGAGTTGTGTAAGAGGTGGAGTCACCGCATATGCACCAAGCCCTCTCTAAAGTCAGGTAAGTGCCTCCGATGTTGGAACAGTTTGTACGGACTGAATCCGCTTTCTTCATGAGTCTTCCTCTGATGATTGGTGAACTGTTCCTCTTTAAAGGTAAAAGAAAGATTATTAATCATTGATGCATGTATCAACTGGTGATTAAAATATATGTTATGATATTTTGAAATACTTAAAGATGTATTTGAGATTAGTAAGCCTTTGCAATAAACCATGATTCAATGAAATTTTTACTCTAAAATGTAAATTTATTGATGCAAGGCAAGAGATAATTTAATATACGATTAGATGAAGGACAAGAAAATTACTTATTTAAATTTGAATACGTTGTATTCATTACTTGATAAAGCTGCAAACAAACTTCTTCAACCAGTCTTCATCACTGTCAAATCTGTGTCAGAAAATATTCAAATTTAAAATTAAAATGTTTTTAAGACAATATTTGCTTTTAATGAATAATACAGCATAAAAATGTACCTATATTGATTATTTTGAAACTACATGTATAGATATATCTAAAAGGCCAAACTGAAAATTAGAAAGTCCAAATAAGTGAAATATAATGTTAATATTTTATTCTTTACATATTATAAGCCCATGTCTGTCTCTGTTTGTCCCGCCCTGCATGTTTTTTTTTTCAGCACACCAGAAGTTTTATGTTTAAATAGAATATTTCTACTATTTGTAGTTTTGTCTGGGACAAAAAATTTTATAATGTGAATATATAGATATTAAGTGAAAATTGGATTGAAACTTGTCTATTTCCAAGGGCAATAACTTTTGTGAATAGGTCAATCACTGTAAAACTGTAACTACTGGTAGGTTAAATATTAGCTCATTATCTACAAACATAAGAGAAAAAGAGACATATATAAAAGCACAATAGTAAACACAATCTGCTGTATTCATTTCTTTGTGGCTATGGCAAAAAAGTCCTTTTTATTTCATGTTATCTAGTTTAGAGATATGGTAAACAGTTTAATTAATATAAATTAACTGGTAAATCTATGATACATGCATTGTTAAATGATTAATTATCTTTCAAAAGGTGGGACTGTGTGTAACTAATCTTTATATGCCCCCCCCCCTTCATTGCTGCTGTCTGTCGGTCGGTCTGTCAGTCCACCAAGCTTCTGTTCATTATCTTCACAACTGTTGTAGTTACTGAAATGATCTAAATTTGGTATACAGATTTATCATAAGAATATCTAAGTCAAGTTCTGTTTTGGGTACTACATGTATCACTGAAAGTAATGAATATAATTCTTGGTTTGAACTCCTGTTTGCAGATCCATGCAAACTTAAATCTACACTTTATGAGAATGCTTGTATGTGAATTACAATATTTGTCCCCTTGCTGTTTCAAAAATGATTTCAAACTTATTTTTTAAATATACAGACTTGTAATAAATTTCATTCTCATTTTCTTATTGAGTTAATGAACTGCAAAAGGAGAAAAGGACATAGGTAAAGAAATTATTATATTTCATAGTATGTGTATGCTTTAACTCTACCTTTGGGTATGGAATTGAAAAGTATATTACATGATTAGTTACACACAATGCCCCCTACCGAACCAACAAACCTGACTTTAGATGAGTGAAGCTGCCTCCCCTCCTCTGTATCTCCTGCATGTTAACTTTTCACAGGCCAGCATTTAGTCTCAGTTCCTTATTGTGGTCCACTTCTCCTCTACAATTGGGACTTGCATGATAAATATATTTTTCATTTCTTGTTATCATTATTATACTTTGTAAAATTCAATCAACTGTTAAAAAAATATTGTACAAGTTTCAGTGGTTTAAATTCATTGGTAATTTTAATATTGAAACATTTCTTTATTCAAGCATAAATATATAGATAATTCCTGTTGTACTTGGATAAAATCTGATTTGATATATGCTGTTATCTAACTTATATACATATAATCAATTGCAAGGAAAGTTATACAAATCTATACAATTTCATTGGTTTTAATTAATTCACCAATGTACAGTAAAACTGGTACTAATTCTAAATACAATTTATTTAACTGAAAAGATATAAAATTTCTACTGTAGTTTCATTTCTGCATCATAAATTTACTGTGATAATTAAGTGTGTTGTGATATATTTATCATGTTTTTGTTAAATTGTATATATTAATTTCAAGCATATATATTATGCATCATAAATTTACTGTGATAGAATGTGTTGTGATATATTTATTATGTTATTGTTAAACTGTATATAATGTACAAGTACTTATTTCAAAAATATGAACTGTTAAATTGTTTATATTTATTTAAAGCATATGAATTTATAATAAATATAAAAACTGTACTGTTGTAATTAATTAATTAGATTTATATATTTTTCCTGTCTTTAATGTATTCATTCTATACACTAGCTGTGATAAAAATTTTGCAGTTTTCTCCTGCAATCTACATCTACATGTATTTTCAATCTTTTTCTTCTTTGTGATAAGTACTTGGCTGTTTAACAATTTTTTTTTTCACTTATCTACTCATAATAATTCACTGCAATTAATCTATTCTTTCATTTTATATGAAAACAGCAGTATTCTTACATTTAAATTGTAATTGCTATTCAATGAAATTGTTTAAGTGAAATGTTTGAAATGTAAGATGTTTTCACACAGAGATGTAATTGTTATTTACATATGCAATGCATTTTTATTCAAAATTCTTATGAAGTTTTCTGTATATGACTGTCTGTTTGCATTATGGTTTTATCGTGTAATACTTAAGGTTCTTTCAACCAAACATTGAATGTGTACAAAGGTGGTGTGAAATGCACTGCAACAAAGTAACATTTTGTAGTCTAGCATAATTAGCAGTAATTTACTGCAATATGTGAAAATAATTGTTACAAATCTAGACTACAATAGCAAAATGTGGTGAAGCATATACATATACCTACATAGGGCCAAGAATATGATAACAAAGGTTTGCAATATTCAGTACACATTTCATTGTTGGTTTACATGATAATGGAGTCACTGGCACGACAGAGATGTCTGTAAACTTCCGTCTTTGTGACATAGCCAAATGTTTACATACAGTCCAAGTAAGCAATTCATTTTTTTTTTTTAAATATCTTATTTCTATGTTTGATTTACCAGTATAGCAATTAGTTTCTATGTGCAAAATATTTAAAGAGAATTTCAATGCTAGGCTGATTAACTCGTTAACTTAAGTCCTGAGTTTTTTTTATAATGTATTCTTAAATCATTATCATGATTTTTGTATTTAAAAAAAATTGGCAATTCACAATATTAACTTTATTGCAAAGTAAAAAATAATTATTTATTATAAATACATAAATAGACATTTAAATAATTAGCTGAAACTGTTTATAAACTACATATAATGTATGTACTATGTTTTCTTAATTGTAAAATAAATTATTAACTGTTATTCCATACCATGTTTTGTTTTGTTTTTTATTATTGAAATCCTTAGACAATGTGCTATGCATAACTCAGTAATGTGGTGTCCAGTGATTGACATGTTACAGGGGCTGACAAGTAATTGATAAAATTTCAAGGCACCTGTCCCAGGGAAAGAACATGGTTAAAATTCACTAGCATTTTTTGCTTGTTCTACCAAAAATTTGTCATCCCCTGTGCTACAAAAACCATTTATGGCTGTCAATTTTTATTAGCAAAGAATCATCAAAATTCACTAGTATTGGGTATCTCTTTCAAGCAAAAACCATGGAAAAGTTTAAACCTGAGACATAGCTATGAGCCCATGACCAAGTGTTTTATGTATCAGACCAATAAATTATTACTGCCAGGCCATCTTTAAAATAATGTTTGTTTGCCCCCCCCCCCCTACCCCCCACTGAATCAAGGTAAAATTATTGGTCCGATGGATAGGTGAGAAAAAAAAAAATTTTCCATAGAATTTCAACAAATTTGTTGGTGGGATAAAGGGAATAAAAAGAAGAAAAAAGTAAATGCCCTGAAATTTGAAAAAAAAAGTTTTGAGTTGGACCATTTTTAGTCAGTTGGTCGAGAGGGGGCAACTAAACAATTTTTTAAGATGGCCTCATATCAGTCATATGTCATATTATAAAACATGTAAAAGACAATAACAGCATGGAAATATTAACAGATGAATTATTATTACAATTGAGTACCGTGCATACTGGCCTATAAGTTGGTTGCATTTTATAAGCTAGCTTATAAATGAGTCCGATTGACCCTAAAAGATACCATTGGCAACCTATAAATCAGACTAAGAATTTTGGACCAAAGTTTAACTCCCCCCCCCCCAAAAAAAAACTTAGAGGCGAGTATATACAGTATATCTGATGAAATTTTGAATGGTCTGTAACATTTATGTGTCGATCTACATGTTCCAAACTTTTCTATATGGAAAAAGGATTTCCTGACATATACATATATATAAATGCAATAGCTATAATATAGAGAATTTCTGTCTCACCCCTTTGAGGTTGTAACATATGATCAGCTGGTGACCATATTTGTTTAGTTTCATACCATGATATGGAAATGAAAATATATCCCTCATCAAAAGCTACAAATCTTAACATTTAAAGTTAAACTCAATATATAGTATACACATTTATGAGTATACTGGAGGCTACAGAATTTAGTAATGAAGGTCTCCAGGGTGTTGATACTACACATAAATGTAAAAATAAAAATGCACTTTGGATCTCTTGCTTAATTTTTTTGTTACATGACTGCCAAATGTATGTACATGAAATATTATAAATTGAAAATGAAAGTAGAAATACAATTTTAAAAATTTAGTCACTGTGTTAATCAGCTGTTATTTCCATTTGGTATCATTTCACCTAATTGTTTAACCATCTTCTTCTTCCATTATAATCATAGATATACCCCTTTTACATTTTTCACACATTGGCTTACATACAGACCGTTATAGCACTAACGGTTTACCATGAGCCCTAAGCAGATAGCTGAATCAATGTCAGCATGTCACGCGTAATGAAATAAATATAAAT